ACGTTCTGATTTTTTAAAGCCATAATGGCATTTGCTTCCCTGAAATGACTCAATATGACTAATGACATTTTTTTTTGTCTGAATAGAAATTGGATTCCTCCTGCGTCGGTTATTGTTGAGTCGAACTTGCTAACGTTTCGCTAATCACCCTGTCGGCTTCTTCTGACCTTATCTGACACTGTTTTATAGAATAAAATTTTATGTCCTGTTTCGTGGTCGTGTTCCGCAACTGGCGATGAGTTTATTTGTCTAATATCTCAGAATGTTTCTAATTTAATTGTAAAATGTATGTTAGGGTGTATCCCTTTAAATGTCTAAGAAAATCTATTACGGATTCTTGACCGTGGGGCCAAATAACAAAAGTATCATTCACGTTTCCATAATTTTGGTTTTAAATGGAAGGTGTCGCGAGAAAAAGGAAAATATTTTTCATTTTCATTTTTCAATTAAGCTGAGAAGGTTTGGTTCCAGATTCTTGGATTTTAAAATATCTGAAATGATGCTGAGAGTTTCACGAATAGGAACTTTAATAAAGAGGGATTCTACGTCGAAATTTTCCAAAATATCTTGTCTATCTAATGTAATACTTTTTAATTGTTCAATGTTGTGAAAGGAATTAAGTACGGAACTGCAGTTTTTCCTGTAAAAGGTTTTAAAAAAGAAGGTAGGTATTCTTTTAGAGAATATGTTGGAGAACCAATTGTGCAGACAATAGGTCGAAGGGGTAACCCTGGGAGTTCGTAGGGACAAGACATTTTAGAGTCATGAGAGGTGACTTTTTCACGGAGCCTGATGGAGAAGAAGACTTATTAACATATTTAAGGCTCCGTGTAAGAATATCTTGAATCTTTTCCTGATATTCATATATTAATTTGTGTTCACGACCACCGTTGCATTTCTTTCGGCACAACAAAAACCGACGCAGGAGGAATCCAGAAGTTTTGTAAAAATATTACAGTAGCCTGTGGAAGTGTCTTTCAAAGTTTTTTTGAAATTATTCCAATTTTGCTTTTGTAGTCCCATGTATTGAAAAAAATGCCTTGTAGCACACATCCATCTTTGCTTTGCCTTTGATCACTTTAACAATATATTAATAATAATTATTACGTAATAATGCTATGTTTTCGTCTTTTCGAGGACGTGTTCTTTTAATAGATTTACAGGTTATCAAGCCACATAAATTTAAATTATTTTCATTATTACAGGCAAGGATATTAAAGTTCTTCAACGATATCGGCCTCTCTTCATTACTTGTTTTCTCCAAACGTCTCAGGTTTTTGCATTCTTTCCTTAATTCATGATTGTTTAGCTTTGGTTACATTCGTAATCCGTCCTTGTATTTTTCTTTTTTTAAACTTTTCACTTTTCGGCGGCTGCTGCTCTGCTGTTTCCATAATGCACTTCTCAATTTTATTTTTTATAAATTTAATTAAAACATAACCTTAACACCGTAGCCAACGAACACATGCACGAAAAATATACACTTTTTTAGCCTTACAAAGAGTAACATTACTTTTTACAAAACTTCTGGATTCCTCCTGCGTCGGTTTTTGCTGAGTCGAAATTGATGACGTTTCGCCAATCATCCTGTTGGCTTCTTCAGAGCTTCCAATAAGAATGAGGCCCAAAGCAATCATACACTTGCCACTGTGGTCCTTCCTTACATTCAAAACATCACTGACGACATATCAAAAGTTCTAAAGAAGTATAACGTCGAAACCAGATTTACCACTTGCCCAAAAATCTCTTAACATCTTCGGTCCGTGATTCGGAAGAGACAGGGCATATAGACAGTATAGACCAAGAAAGGAAACGAACAAAAGCGGCGTATTCATGAACCTCTTGAATCTTGAGGCTTAGAACGGTTTCATGTTCACACTAGTATTATTACGAGAGAAATATACAAAATAACAAATGTCTCTGAAGAAACTATAAAAATTTAGTGCAAATATTCGTTTTTTACCCACGTTTAAAGTACGATACAGTTATTCTTTAACTACAGTTCTCATGCCAATCAACAGATACTTTATTTTCCATTAAACATCCAGACACTGACACCCCATTAGCGGTTTAAAGTAATCGAACAAAACCATAGCTTTCAAAGGACAAAATTAAAAAACAAAAAACATTTTTCTAATGCTTGTTTAAATTGCTATTGTGATTGTAAAACAAGCAACATTGTTTTTGTTTCTCTGTTTGTTGTTTGCATTGAAGAGCAGCTCATAACAATAACGTTTATTAACATTTCCCATTTTTGTACTTTTCGGTTTATGTTTCTTATTTTTCGAGTCGAGTCGGCAAAACCAAAATAATAAATTCTTATCTTACATCTCATCAAGACAAAACAATGAATCTGAAAAACTACGCAGATTGTCACGAGGACGGCCAGGATAACTTGTTTTATCAGTTGACTGTTAATTAGACGGTGTAATTTGGTTGGCATGGGTGATAAAATAAATATCGAAGAACAAATACTTCAAGCCGAAACCCGTGGGGGATATTTCAACTTGACGACAAATATTGGTTCTGATTTAGGAGATATCAATTTCGTATATCTTTCACTACCCAAAACTAACGATTAACTTAAATTATTCAGGGTCAAATTAATTTTAGTGGGGTTTAAAAGTAAGCCTACGCTCGCAGTGAAGAAGGCACTTTCCAAGAACAGTAAAAAAATCAAATATTTTGAACATATCTTCTAAGTTTAATAGTATATATAAAGTCTGTTCATAGATATAAGAAAGTGACTAACTGATACGAATTAAGAAAAGACCCGGGCAAGCTGTAAGAATGAAATATGGCCGTCGTTAATTAGTACGAATCAAATAGCTGTTTCATTTTATTGCAATAGGAGAGTGGTTATAAATTTATGTAAGTAAGTCGGCAAAGACAAAATGGAGGAAATACATTTCTGAAATAACCGCCAGCTGCCGTAATTGAAATGTTGTATTTTTAACCCGGTTTTGCCATATTTTCCAAAATAAACCATATTTCGAGTGGGTTAGATACAAAAGCTGAGACAAATTCAAATAATTTCTTATGCTCTAGCTCTGTCTTTTAAACGAAAAATTTATTAAAATTGGAGTCGTTAAAAAGGGTACTCCTAGGCTAAATAAGAACTAAAAGTCCAGGTTTTCACCAAAATATATATTTTCACATAACAAAGCTATTTTTAAACCACATTTTGACAAATGTTTTCAAACTTTTTGAATGGGTTCTCCTATGTATGTAATTGTTTTAAACTGTTCATGTTCTGTATTAGGTTTCGGATAAATAGAGTATACTGTTGTCTCGATTTGTGTGAATAAGGGTGATTTGAGCTGTTATGTATGACTGTGTCCGTGAGTGAAGGTCTATGATAAATGAAAAAATCTAATTTGTTTTGCGTTTTCGTAATAGTTAAGCATAAAAATTTAATAGAGTTATCCTGTAAAAATACATAATTTCGTGAAAATCTGAACTTTTAGTTCTTATTTATTTTGATAAATGGATTTTCATCAAATAAAAGAAACCGTAGTTCAATATTCCTAGGCTATCAATTGGTCTGCTAGTGAGGAGATTGTGATTACTTAGCTTTTCACTTGATAGTAATATTAATAATAATAATAATCTTCATTGTCTAGCAGATTAACATCTATTTAGAAGGCAATTTCATCGTAGGAACTATAACTATAACTATAATAAGTATTCCTCTATATTCACTCCAAAAAAGTATACAATCCATTATAGTATTTCAAACTTACGTTTAGTTAATATGGTAAACTGTGATCGATTAAGACAAAAAACGTCTATATCATTACAAAAGTCATTAAATAATTTCATCAACGGATAGTGAGGACCTTTAATGAACGATTTGGTGCTTGGAGTTACTAGCTGAAAGACTAGTGATGCCCTTACAGTAATTCAAGGAACATGAAAGTTCAGCTCGCTCAGCATCTTGGGGCAATCCACAAATGAATTGCAAAGTTTGTATAAAAACTGAAAGGTGCTTCCTACGATTCAACAGTGAGGGAACCTTAAACATTCGTAATAAATCACTATCGAGCACATGAAAGTGAAGAAATTTCAGAAATTTTCTCTGTACGTTTTCAATTTGAGTGGTGCACCTACCGAAAATTGGTTACCAAACTGTTGAACCGTACTCTAGTTTCGTGTTCACTATAGTATAACAGTTTTAAAGTATGTTCTCTTGCAAAATCTCTAGAATGTTTCACTATGAATCCCAGCATTTTGAGTGCACCTCTACAGGCTTCATCGACATGATTCCCGAAGGAGAGTTTGTGTTTCTCACATCTGTTGTATGTTCTTGTGTGGATTATCTTTAAGAAGAGTTTTAGGGCCTGGCTCAGTAAGCTGATCATTCGGAATTGATCGCAACTATTAGCGTTTGGCTTTCTTGGGATTGGTACAGACTGATTGAAGCCAATCCTGTGGAATTTGACCGGATCCACCGGTCATTGAAAAGATTTACCAAGGCGTCTATATTGTCTCCACTCAACATTGTTAGAACCTCTACATATGGGCCTGATGCTTTCCCCCATTTGCTCTATTTGATTGCTCTTACAATTTCTGACTTCATTATTGTAACGGGTTCATTTTTATATTCAGTTTCAGAGTGTCTTCTACTGTTTTCTGAGTATAGTTGCTGTGTATAGTTTCTAAAATATTGGGGTAGATCCTTGGAACCAGTGATTAATTGCCGGTTATTATAAATACCTGAATTAGCGCTAATTTATTTATTTTTTCATTATACTTACTAATTTTAAAGAAGTTCATGTAGTGATTTGTTTACCTTTTGCGAGACTGTCCCGACAAAAAATGTCAAAAAAAAATGGTTGATAAGAAAATGTGTTTAAAGAATGTTGAAATAAACCATAAATCAATCGAAATTGATTAGCAATGTTGTCCCATTCGTTAAGGACACCTTGAAAAATACCGCCGACGTAACGCATTGATAAGGGTCTAATCGACTTTTTTTATTTAAATCACATATGGGCCAGCCGAGATCAAGTTTCGCCTGGAACGCGCAAAAATGAAGTCCGTTATCTGTGCACTCGCAGCGTTCCTCACCTGCGTCAGCGTAAGTATTATTTGTCACAATTACTTCGCATAGTTTTATACCCCATTCTGTGTTTTGCAGTGCGCCCCTGTTTACACTCCCGCAATAATATCGGTACACTTGGGCTGTCAAAACATCACGCAGTATTTTGTACCGAACGAGGTATTCCAGCAGTTGGAATTCGATAAAGTACCTCCAAAGCAAGTCGACATTCCCGATAACTTCGACGACCACATGTACTGCATGTACACCAATCTGGGATTCGAGTCAGAAAGTGGGGAGTTAGATTTGAGCCACGCCGACGGTTTTGGAACATTGTTCGCAAACCCGGAAGACTCTGTAGAAATTGTAACCAACTGCGCCAGCAAAACCGAAGGCTTGACCGATCCTATCGAAATCGCAGGAAGGTTCTACTTTTGTACACTCAACTTTTACGCTTAACTATATTTAAGTTAATTATTAAACAAGTATCACCAGCTACTTTGTTTTATTTGGTATTGGGATTTGTGGAGTTTAACAGGGCAGTTTCATCAAGGTTTTATGGTAACTTCCTTCACGTCCTCACAGTTTTTTCACTGGTTGTTCTGGAAGGGAACATTTGTTCCATTGAAATCAAAACTTAATTTTTCCGTGTCTGAAGAGAACTACTATGGCATCAGGTTATTATTTTGATGGCATATGGCATAGCAACATTAGTGCTGTTACTGTGTGCTATTTAAATTAGAGAGAATATGTATTTTTAAATATTTGAGTTACATTATTTTATCATTTGTACATCTAGAAAGATTGATCCGATCTATCCAGGCGTTATCAAATATAATCTTTAATGATATAAGCAGCCGTTAGAATGTTTTTAATAGCAGCTGTCGCTTCAAGTGTGCTGGAACTGTTCATTTTTGTGCTACATTCAGCGGTAAGTATATATCACACATATTTTAACAGTTTTCCTTTGTTTTTCTTTTTCTACTTGACTATTTCGAATGTTTATAATTATTTTAAACCAATAATATTTTTTATAATATCAATTTGAACAACTTTCCTATTATGTGGAATAAACGAAATGAAAATGTTTGACTAGTCTTACCAATAAATGATGTTCTGTTTCATTTAGAAAATAGTTTTGGTTAATTTAGTTGAATAAAAATAAATTCATTTTGGTGGTAACAAAAACAGGAACATCGAATGTTTATAATTATTTCTTTTTATTTTTTAGGAATACTTAGTTGACACAAAGATGAAGTATATCATCGTCCTTGCCGCAACATTGGCTTATGCTACGGTAAGTGTTTTTTGCAGTAATTATATAGTTAAAAAAAGAAATATACGAATATCCAGTAATCTTAAAAATTATTCCACAATGGACGAAATAACGTTCAAGGTTTTTTGAGAGATGAGGTTCCATAACCACATATTCCGACCAAGTTGGCTCTTATCTGTAGCGTTTTCGGATGAGAATGCGTGTCACTTAAAACGATCGCTCAGGCTAAGAAATTTAAAAAATATTCAAGAAATTGTTGTAAAATTCATGCAGTACACACATAGCTAAATAGTGATACACCTGCAAATAACAACATTTATAAGAAATGTTGTACGAAATAAATTTGAATAAAATAACAACCAACTTAGCAACAGGGGGCCTACACGATAAGCAAAGTAAATTACATAAAAAGAAGAAGCAAACAAAGGTGATTTTTTATAATGAAACAAAGAAAAAAGATTAAGGAAATAATAACTCGAAAATCAGTGAAAATAGATATACCATTGTTTTGTACTTTTAAATGGCAAATTAATTTTAAAGGATTTTTACAACTAATTGGGCCTTACCTTATGAACGCCCTGTACGCGATAAGTTAATATTCAAACTATACTATGATGACGCGTTTAGCTGTACGTGTTGCGAAAAAAGTTATTATTTTATATCGGGCTCTTGCACTTACATAAGTAACCAACATTGTAGGTTTTTACCAACGTCTACTAGGATACCCACGGTGAATAACCTTGTAATATCATACCTTTTCATTTCAAATATGTGTATGTATACATTATACCCAAATTCAACCATTCGTGCAGGAATGGCAAAGATCGAAAATAATTACTGATTTTAACAAACTAAAAGAGAATTAAATAATCACGAAAACCATTTAAAAACAAAGAAATAGGGTATCCATTTAAATAAATGCTCAAATTGATGACATTGTGCTAAGCGGTATGTAAATACCCCTGTTTTTGTACACTTTGGTTTTGATGTAACCCCAAACAAAATTAGAAGATTTCATTCAGGTACTCTCTTACATTTTGGGTGCAATGAGGAGGTGTTCCATCTTGATGAAACCATCATCCTTATTGCGTCATTTCTGATGTTCGGATTTAGCAAATTTAATTGGGAGATTACTTGCGTCCTTAAAAGGTACGGGGAAAGGGAATATTTTTCACCCACGAGAATGTCATTATGGATTACACTGCAAAATTCTTTTTACTGACCAATTACTAGAATTGTGTTGGTATAAACCCAGTATATGTAAATTTTGGGACTAATCTTCACTTCACGATAGCAAAACTTTCTATCACCATAACCGAACATCAGTAATGCTTACATACTTTTTATTGATCTAGGCTAGACACAATTTGACTGCCAACAAATCAACCGAAAACATGACAACTATACAATAACAGAGTCAATTGTTTTTTAGTTCATTGCAACTGTGGGTCTCAATCTGTTTAATGTTAGATGCAGACGATTGCTCATCAAGTGTGCCATTTCGTTAAAATCATTAATTTTGTCGTTCATTGAATTAATTCCAGTGTATTGATTAAATCATTAATTACACGGGTCAACACAAAATGTGACTTTGCTATTCAAGCATAAAATTTTTAAAATTTCAGGTGGTAATTAGATGAAAAAAAAGCCTTGTGTGTTCAAAAGGTCAGGTGACTTTTATAATTGGGAGGGCTACGTGCATTCCATCTTCGATTTTTTTTTCGTTATGTTGGTACACATGTCTCTAACATATGTTCACAGTTTCAGTCACTTTACACGTTTACTTTTCTTTATGAGACCGAAAATCGAATTCAGAATTTGCATAAAATTTTGTGTAAAAAATGGGTTACAGTGCCACAAAATACTTAAATTATTGACAACGGACAATATATGGTGAATCAACTCTGAGCAAAAAAAATGTTTATAAGTGGTACAATCGCTTCCAAGACGGCCGATGACAAACCTCGCTCTGGATACCGCAGTACATCAATAATTGATGAACTGTTGAAGAAGTGAAACAAATGGTGTTGAAAAATCTTCGAATCACTATTACGGAAGTGGATGAATATGTCGGTATCTCTATTGGCTCCTTCCATGCATTTTTCTCCAAAGTTTTGGACATGAAACGTGTAGCAGCAAATTTTTTTCCGAAACCGCTTTATTTTGAACAAAAGGGCCGTTGAAGGAGCAACGCTCAAGAGCTGTTATACGACGTCACTGATGATCCTGACATGCCCAAAAAGGTCATAACTGGTGACGAATCGCCTAGAAAGAAAAAACCGCGTCAAGCAAGCTTGTGCTTACTGTTTGCTTTGATTTATGAAGAAATTTAGTTTAAGGTTATGCGCTTTTTGCGAGAAACAATATGAAGAAAAGGAAGGACTTGGGAACGAATGAAGAGATAAAGAAGTAATCGCTTGAAGAACTCAAGGCTATACCAGCGAGTACTTACCAGAAGTGCTTCGAGGATTGAAAGAACCGTTGGCACAAGTGTATATATCTTACCTTGAAAGGGGCAACATTAGTTTTGATGAATAAATAAATACTCTAAATACTGATAAAATCTAAGAGTCACCTTACTTTTTGAACACACTCGTGTATGGCATAAAAAAATTGCATTTGTATTTAGGGGACCTTTTTAACGATATTTTTCAAAATCTTTTTTTTCAAAACTGAACGCTTTTACTATTTCTGTTATGGTCATAAGTGCTTTCTCTCAATAAATCCCAAATATAATCTCCCATCATGTTTTCATTGTATTGGTCTTGGTAACGTCGTTCAAAGCGCATAATGTCCTGACGAAAACGTTCTCCCTTCTGAATGCGCTCCCACGTTGTTTTTAAATTATGTATCCTGCAGCCCATAACCTTAAAATAGTTTACCCTTTTCTGAACCAAGTTTTCGTAGTTTTCAGCTTTGCTATTTCCTGAAAACCAAACACTACTGCTTTAAAACTGTTCTAATTTGCTTTTTGAATACGACTTATCAGCGCCGGAAATTTGAGCTGGTGAAACTTTGTAAAAAAGTTTCAACCACTTTTTTTTTATTTTTACGATGTGTCTACCTTTCCTAAACTAATTTTGATTTAGTTTTGGTGATAAATATATTTGCTTTGATTTACAGGGTGCGCCAGTTTACACGCAGGAAATACTGGACGTCCATTTCGCTTGTCAAAACATCACGGAATATTTCGTGCCGCAAACGGTATTCGCCCAACTGGAATTCCAGAAAGTGCCACCGTCCGACGTCGACATTCCCGACAATTTCGACGACCACATGTTTTGCATGTACTCCGGTTTGGGATTCGAGTCCGATTCCGGTGAACTCGACTTGGCTGTAGCGGCGGATAAACTTAAAACCTTGTTCGTGGATCCAAACAACTCGGCGGCGATCGTAAGCGAATGTGCCGCCCCTACGCAGGGCTTGCAGGATCCCGTTGAAGTAGCCGGAATATTCTATTTTTGTACATTGCCACTGTATGCGTAGATATGTCAAATAGCTAAGTAAATCGGTATTTCGAAACAACTAAAAATATTTTCTTTAACCCCGTTGGAGTTTTATTTTATATTGTTCCCATAGACTCTGGTATTCCACAGGGTAACATTAATAATAATAATAATAATAATATAATCTTTATTTAGCATTATGCTACATAAAAAATACAAAATACAAATTCTAAATATAAAATATAAAATTCCAAACCAAAAGCCAAACACACAGAAATCAGAATTGTGACGATACATGGCGTCTTAAAAGTCTTTTAAATTCATAAAGAGTATCACAGTTTTTAATATCATGCGGTAAATTGTTAAAATGATTTAGGCCTTTAAGTAATACAGAGTTTTGTACTTGACTAGAATAAGATTCTCCTAACATAAAATTACCACAATTCCTTGTATTGTAAGAATAGTCTCTGAAATAGGTAACTTTTTCACAAACACACTGCTGTTTGATTTTAAAAATAAATACATAGACATTAAACATTACTTTTTGTTTTACAGACAAGAATTTAAGAACCCTCAACATGCTTTGAATTGGCGTATATTGGTTACACTTTAGTATATTTCTCATGGCTCTATTTTGAACAATCTGCAATTGCTCTAATTTTAGTGTGGAACAAAATTGTAAATGGGGAGCAACTAGGCTGTTATACAGTAAGATTTTGGTGTCAATTGACAAATTTTTCCCTATTCTAGATATACAATTAATCTTTTTAGAAAACTTATTCATTATTAAATCGGAATGTGTATGAAACGTCAAATTTGATTCAAATGTAACACCCAGATATTTAGTTTCGTTTTTATGAATTAATTTTTTGTTTTTAATATAAATGTTTACATCGAAATTTAATTTACTCAATTTATGTCGTTTACCAAAAATACAAAATTTTGACTTTTCCGTGTTTATACAAAGGCTATTATTGCACAGCCATTCAAAGCTTTTCTTCATTTTCCTTTGCGTTTCATCCACATTTTTACCCACAATGAAAATATCGTTTATATACATAAGAAACAACAATGGTCCCAAAACTGTCCCCTGAGGAACACCATGTTCTACAGTTATGCAATCAGATATGCAATTTTTATATTTCGTTTTTTGTACCCTATCTCTTAAATACGAACAAAGTCATTTATACGCTGTTCCCTTAATACCCATTTTGTACAATTTTCTTAACAGTCTAGTTCTACTTATTGTTTCGAAAGCACGCTTAAAATCAAAAAATACAGCCAACACAAATTTACCATCCTCCAAGGCCCTCAAGAAATCATCACAGACAGTAACGACGACAGATTCGCATGAATGTTTGGAGCGAACGCCCGACTGATTAGGCACTAAAATATTGTTTACGTCACAATAGCTTTGCAGCTACTGTTTAACCACAACCTCAAGAACCTTCTCATAAACTGGAACGGTATTAATTGGTCTAAACTCTTGACATAGCTTGGTGTTCGGAACCTTCTGTACAGGGATCACCATTGATGTCTTCCATGCCTCCGGAAAAATTCCACTCGTAACACATTTTGGACCTCTATTGTTCAGATGTCACCCTGATTTATTATTCGCTTGACCTATATGAAATCGTCCTTGTTGCTTTCGAAAAATCGATGAGGACGAATTTTTTTTGCCTGCCCTTCGCCGTTTTCTGTCGACGCTTCATAAAAACGCAACTAATATTGGAAAACGTTGGAGCACGGGAGCTAAATTTTTTCTCCTTTTAAAACGCCTAGGAAACGAATTAGCTTATTAGAAATGGCCGCGGTCGCACCTTGGCGTCCATTTTGTTTCACGATTTTCGTCTCTTTTTCGTACATGCTATGAAACACGATAAGTGACCGAAATTTGAAGCTATCGACTTGAAATTTGAGACGCGCATGCAGTTCTTTTCCCTATTTTTGAAAATTTAAAAACCAAATTTGTAGGCGTTCGAGAAAAAATCATTGCTCAAAAACTGTATATATGATCGAAAAAATTATTGAACTAAAAGACGCGTGAGATCTGCACTGAAAATCTTTGTTATTAATGTTATTTCCAAAAAAGTATAGGGTGCGTCGGTAATTAGCGAAAAATTGAAAATTGGGTTCTCCTTATAATGACAACTGACAATAACTAGAATCCTGTGCTTCAAATATCAGTTTTGTATTAAAGGCTTTCACATATTTTGCAGGTTATTCGAGATATTCTGTACTAAATTTAATTTTCAATTATATACAGGGTGTTTCAGTTGTGGATAAAAATCTAACAGCCTGAAAATTGTGCTTTTACAGAATACATTATTAGCTGTAAATGAAAATTGTATTTCGCATCAATTTTTATATTTATGGCTTTCGTTTTGTCCTCCATATGAAAATCACTGTTTTTCTAGCTCAATCTAGACGCGATGACGTCATTTACTATTACGATTAACTGCATGGTTTCAGAAAACAAGTATTTTCTCGAAAACCATTCACTGTGTTCAAAAAATTCATATACCAGGAAAAGTGGGAGATTCAGGGCTATAACCTCTACTTCGAATATTCTTTGAATTATATACAGGGTGTAGTTTATGCGCAAAAAGTCTAAGAGGACCTAAAAATTTCCGTTTGTGGGTAAATTATTGGCTATAAAAGATAAACTGTTAAAGATGGGATAATTTGGTTTGTATAATATCGTAAACTGTGTCGACAGAGAGTTTCAGTTTTCGTCGATGATACAGGGTGCGCGAGATATTTGAGAAAATATAATTGGAAATTGCTATTACTGGTGCAAATCTTTATATTTAACAAAGTTTGCTTTAACTTTGGGCTTCGGAGAGACTTGAAACTTAATACAGGGTGCGTGCGCAATAAAATTAAATCAGTTTTGAGCTATCACGTTGAGCAAGAATACTCCTCGTTGCTCTTAAATTTATATTTCTTTAATTCTATGCAATTTAAAACTGTCTTTAATTGTAACAACGACTTTTGGAGTTAATTTTTTTTGAATAAAAATTATATAACGATGGTAAGTCAATGTTTCGATCATTTGGAACCTGAGGACGCTTATCATCCTTGTATCGAGGTTACATATGAACTACTTTTTCTCAAAGCCCTTTTGTTTAATATCAATTCTTACTTTAATTTTAAGAAAGGAATTTACAACGAAATAAACCGAGACATCTTGAGTGTTGACGGGCTCTCTGAATATCAAAACAAATGTGTTTGACAGTTCGGTAAATCGTTTTTACTTAATATTTGAGAACAAAATATTCCGACATTTAACAGAAAATACCAAAAAAAAAAATAGAATTCACAAAAAAACTGAATGACCTTAATTTATTTCAAACTTTTAGAGCTCACTTTAAAAAAGCATAAAATTACATTTTGAAAATTATTTTAGTCCTGTTGAAAACGACATGCCCCATTATTGTAATAGATTATGGTGTTGTACATCCGTTAAAAAACACTCCGTTAGTAAATTACCAACACGAATGTTCTTTGAAATGGAACGAATGCAGGTAATTTATTTATTTCATATTTTGTAAGCGTTTTCGAGCCAGAAAGTCATCTTTTTTCTAACTCAGGTTGACACTTAAAATATAGTTTTGAACTTCAGAGTATTTCGTTATGCTTGGAAAACATATCTCGTGAAATGACATAAAAGAGAAGTGAATCCTGACATAGAAAAGTAGCCGAATCTGATTTCTTGCGTAAAATATTTGAGCAGCCCAAATTTTCAAGAAAATCTCAATTCAGAGGAGTATAGGGGGGGTGGGGAAAGGCGTCAACTTTTTGTTTGTGGCTTTTAACCATCAAGTTGATTTATTTTTGACTAATTTAGTTTATCCAAAATTTGGCGCAACTTCTGGCCGTCATGCCCCACTCTCCTCTATTTATAATGTTATATATAATAATTATAATTATTTTTTAAAAGGTATTTAATAAATAAAAACTACTGATTAGTAATTCATTTTCTGTAGATTAAAAACTATGTTCTTAGTACTTATAAGATTTTCCAAAGCTCCGGCTTTGGGCTCTATCCATAGAATTATCCAAAAAATAACACTGTCAAAAAATTTATTATGATTTGGTTAGAATAATGTCTAGTAACTTTTTTACCCCTGGAATTACGCAAAGGACTAAAAATGTACAAACAACCAGAATTGATAATTATAATAAAGAACAAAAATCTTTTCGATAATTTTTGAGGTGGGCCTCCTGCCTCCAGGATGACCGCTTTGCCCCACCCTCCCTACTCTATTTTAGCTCTCCATTGTTTGGTCATCTGCGAAAAACAGGATTGCACGTTTTTCTAGTATTTCCTAGAGTGTGAAGATATTGTCTGTACACGGTGACACGTTTAAGAGACGCCGAAACCTAAGGGGTTACAAAAAAAATTAGATACAAAAGTTGTTTCTATTAAAATGAGCTTTTTTTAATTTTCCAAATAGTCCCTTTTTGATAAGATAGTAAAACACAATTACATTTTTTTTAAATAGGACATCCGACATTTTATTCAAAAACAAACAAACGATGTATATGAGTATGGGTCTGTGATGCACCGTTTAGAAACTTATTAGCGATCATCTCCAGAATTTGTGTTATGCTTAAATCATCATTGTTGGTTTGCTTATTAACTATTTAAACTCATTAAATTCAAAATATTTTCTTAAAATACGCGGTGTAGCCGCGTTTCGCAAAATACATTTCTCAATTTTCTTAAATTAGGCACCCTGTATATTATTGGATTTTCGAATAGCCACTTGAATGGCAGTTTCATTTATATAACATAGTACGGGTTTCTAACTTACCGTTTTGGCTGAGTTGGCAGATAAAAGTAAAAAGTGTTATCAACTTGTTTACAGCCGTTTTAGAGAATTGTTTAGAAGTCATATTAAAAACAGTATATTAAGCTGGACACAATGATGCTAAATTTCGCAAATTACTTATTTGTCTTATTAATTTGTCTTAAATGTCTACGAGAAATAATTACAAAAAAAAATACAACTACCAGTAAAAATAATTAAATTAGTTTCTCAATATGTCCGCCCTTTTGAAGAATAAAAGTAGTATACGCTATTTCTAAATGATATATATGGTTTTTGTACTGGTGTGAATTTAACTGGCTTACAGCTATTAATTCTTAAAAATGTTTGAAGTGTGGTTCGTCTTACGTCTACATCTGAAGCGCCAAGGCGGGCGGAGGCCTCTGAAGTATTTTGAAAATGCAGAAGAATATCTAGCTGCATATTTTAATCCAAAACCGTTCGGCTCCACTAAAACACTGCCATTTGTTCCGCTCCGAGTGTTCGAAGTGTTTTCCGAGGCGCGAGCATTGAAGATGTCAAGTGAGATTTTGGCGAAACGTCTGCAGTATTCCATATATATATATATATATATATATATATATATATATATATATATATATATATATATATATATATATATATATATATATATATATATATATATATATATATATATATATATATATATATATATATATATATATGATTTCGTGGAAACCTGAACTTTTAGTTCTTATTTATTTTGGTAAAAGAATATATGTATGTATGTAAAACTGTAAGTTGAGATCCGTACTATGTTATATAATTGAATTTCTAATCTACTAATAAACAGAGTTTCTCGTTTAAGAAACTTGCGAAAAGTGTCACCGCGTATTTTAAGAAAATATTTTAAATTTGATAATTGCCTAAACAAAAGCATTAAAAGTTAAAGGTTAATAAACGAACAAAAAAAGTTAATAAGCAACTCAACAATTATAACATAACTCGAATTCTGAAGATGATCGCTAATAAGTTCGAAACGGTACATCACAGACCCATGTTCGTATATATGGTTGAATTTGCCTTTGGAAGTATTATTCAAAAATGCCATCAAATGTAGAGTGTTTCATTTCAAAAAATGTAACTTTGTTTTAGCACCGTGTATATAAAAAAGTGAATATTCGGAAATAAAAAAAATGAAGGTCATTTTAATAGAAACAACTTCTAATTTTAAATTTTTTTTGAAACTCCCGTAGATTTCGGGATAAGGTAGAGCCCCTCTTAAACGGACAACCCTGTATATGACCTTCCAGTTTGGAAGCCGGTTTGTTCTTCAATATCAGAATATTTCGCTTCTATCCTTCTTAGTTAGACTTATGCCTCTATAATTTTATTTTTCTATTGCTCAAAATTTCCATTAAATTTATATACTTTAATTATTTTTGTTTTCGTTAAACATATGTAATCATGTGTTTTTGATATATCAGTAACTAGGCCAGTGGAAATTTATTAACGATATTAACAAATGCAACATTGCATGACGGCCGATTCCTTAAACTGTTTGTTAATTTTACGAATCTCACGAATTTTGTAAATAAAAACAAAGTCAATAATAGTTGTTATCTCTAATTCTTTAGCCGTTGGGTCAAAATGTATAATCGCGATGACACCGTCGTTTCTTAGAATTTTTGTTGGTTTCGAGATGATATAAAAGCACATCCTAGTGAGAAAAAATACAGTAAGCGATAGACGGACGTCATATAGTTCGAAAAGATATCCCTCACGTTAATTATGAAGTACTTGGTCGCTTTTGCCCTATTGCTGACGGTCGCCTCTACGCTGGTGAGTTCATAGTTTTACTTTAGATATATGAAAGGTATAATGGTCCTACTTTTTTTTTACTTGAAAATACTAAAGGGGAATTAAAAATAACGTTAGCTTCTTCTTCTAAGTGTCCTTGAACAAAGTCAAAAGAACTGTGTAGTCCTTTATAAGAGATTCGACTAAGTCGATTGAAAGTTAACAACATTTTATAAAAATTAAGGTGAATAGGACATTATGCGAAAATTATCTATTTTGAAAAGTTGCACTGGCATTACTAAATTTGAAAATCTATTCGGAAAAAGTATTTATGTCCCTCTAATTTTATTACTCTGCTGAATATCTGTTGCCTCGAAATAACTTTAAAGAAACTTGATTTTTCCTAATACAATTCAGTAGAGATCGACATGTTTTTGTTTTAGTCACCCCAAAAATTTTCATTGATTAATTTAAATTGAAAATGATATCTAGGGAAAACTTTTTTCCGATGTTGTGATACGTTAAACTTTTAAAATAATTGAATATAAAATATATAAAATAAAAAAAATAAAAAAATTAATAATAAAACGTTAAAAAAAATGTCAAGAAATAAAACTCTAAAGGGTACAACAGTTTTATAAAACAACTGCAGTGTGTTCAACTTTTGCAACACTAACCAAAACTATCAAGTTTTACTTTAACCTTCTTCACATACCTTACAATCAATATGTGGCGCCCAGGTTTTGTCTTGAGAACCAAATTTTGCTTTTTAAAACATTGTTTTTCTATTAGACTTTGTCGGCCGGTGGAATCAATATAATACTAGTAATAATGATAATAACAATGCATTTATTGTTATACCAGAAATATAAATTGATTTTTTTTTATACTAAATAGAATCTGCATGCTTGTAGAAAAATAATTGTAAAATTTTTCTCACACCCGGTAATTTTCGTTTACTTAATTTTCTACATGAAAAACCGACCAAATCAATTTTCTTTTTAGCCATTTTACTGATATATGAAATATACGTCATACTGACAACCATTTGAAAATTGGATATCCATAGAAATAAAACACTGACTATTAATTAAAATAAAAATTTTGAGAAATTATGTAGACAAAACATTATTAGAAGCTATTTCTGAAAAGTTCAAAATTTAGTAGTTTTTAATTGGCTGTAATTAATCTTCTTTCAATGATAATCATACTTTGTTATGCGGTTTTGGAAAGCTTAGAGACTCAACTTTAATAATATAAATTGGTTTTTTGTAAAAAATAGCGAACATTATACGTAACGGGAAACTAAAATAAACATTGCGATCCCTTAGAGTTGAGCTACAGGGCTCATCTTTGGTGAAGATTTTTTTTATATAAAAAAAAACAATTTTTTTTTACACCTGGAGGAAAAAGATATTGTTGGAGCCCTTTTGGAAAGCTTAGAGACTCAACTTTAATAATATAAATTGGTTTTTTGTAAAAAATAGCGAACATTATACGTAACGGGAAACTAAAATAAACATTGCGATCCCTTAGAGTTGAGCTACAGGGCTCATCTTTGGTGAAGATTTTTTTTATATAAAAAAAAACAATTTTTTTTTTACACCTGGAGGAAAAAGATATTGTTGGAGCCCTTTTGGAAAGCTTAGAGACTCAACTTTAATAATATAAATTGGTTTTTTGTAAAAAATAGCGAACATTATACGTAACGGGAAACTAAAATAAACATTGCGATCCCTTAGAGTTGAGCTACAGGGCTCATCTTTGGTGAAGATTTTTTTTATATAAAAAAAAACAATTTTTTTTTACACCTGGAGGAAAAAGATATTGTTGGAGCCCTTTTGGAAAGCTTAGAGACTCAACTTTAATAATATAAATTGGTTTTTTGTAAAAAATAGCGAACATTATACGTAACGGGAAACTAAAATAAACATTGCGATCCCTTAGAGTTGAGCTACAGGGCTCATCTTTGGTGAAGATTTTTTTTATATAAAAAAAAACAATTTTTTTTTTACACCTGGAGGAAAAAGATATTGTTGGAGCCCTTTTGGAAAGCTTAGAGACTCAACTTTAATAATATAAATTGGTTTTTTGTAAAAAATAGCGAACATTATACGTAACGGGAAACTAAAATAAACATTGCGATCCCTTAGAGTTGAGCTACAGGGCTCATCTTTGGTGAAGATTTTTTTTATATAAAAAAAAACAATTTTTTTTTTACACCTGGAGGAAAAAGATATTGTTGGAGCCCTTTTGGAAAGCTTAGAGACTCAACTTTAATAATATAAATTGGTTTTTTGTAAAAAATAGCGAACATTATACGTAACGGGAAACTAAAATAAACATTGCGATCCCTTAGAGTTGAGCTACAGGGCTCATCTTTGGTGAAGATTTTTTTTATATAAAAAAAAACAATTTTTTTTTTACACCTGGAGGAAAAAGATATTGTTGGAGCCCTTTTGGAAAGCTTAGAGACTCAACTTTAATAATATAAATTGGTTTTTTGTAAAAAATAGCGAACATTATACGTAACGGGAAACTAAAATAAACATTGCGATCCCTTAGAGTTGAGCTACAGGGCTCATCTTTGGTGAAGATTTTTTTTATATAAAAAAAAACAATTTTTTTTTTACACCTGGAGGAAAAAGATATTGTTGGAGCCCTTTTTCTACACTCGAGTATCTGACAATCACCTGCCAAAGTGTAACACTGCGGCAGATGATCAGGAGCAGATTTATTAAATTTGCATAGATCAGCGTTAACCAGAATTTCTTCTACAGAATACTCTTTGAACTCGGCCAGACAAGAAAAAGCTTAATATTGTGTTCGATTTTTTTGTCAAAACCGATATAGTGCAGAATAGAGATAAATGCTTAAGATTTGTTCCAGAAATTGTCTTCTGTCTGAGTAGTTATTTCAATTCCAGCTTCAACGACGTTACTACAGCATTAGATATAACATTGTAGCATATCGAAATTCTCCTCATATAAAAGAGCGTTCTCTGAGTTCCATTCTGTATAGCAAAAAAGAACCAACTTTAATAAAAAAGCAACAACTCTGTTCAAAAACGGATTGTACAAAATTTAATAAAACTTCTGTTTTGTCATTTGAAAAATGTAGAATCATATTTTATGGTGATATTGTTTACAGATTTCTTTGAATGCTATGAATTTTCCTTTGTAGAATTGATTACATGCAATAATTTTAATTTGCTCGAATATTATTTCTTATTTCTTTATTAAGTCTTAAGTAAGCAGGGGCAGGGTAGAAGGCAAATAGCAGAAATTTATGGAAGATTATTTTTTACTAATTGGGTTATTTTAATAATAGTAATAATAAAAACATTTATTACTTTGCCACATATACATATTGCACTGTAAAATATTAGATTTTATGACTGGCCTAATAAATCGCTGATATCCAGCAAAGCCTCAAAATGCAACTCTTGAAAGACATCTAATGGATTCTTCTAGTAGAAATTAATTCCTGACCTGGTATTTTATTGTTTTCGACAAAGTTTATAAAAAACTGATTCAGATCATTGGAATTTCCCAAATTATTTGGTAGAATATTTTCTTTAAACTTGGTCATATTAAGTCCTTTTAACTCTGACCACGTGTCCTTCGAATTTCAATTTTGTTTTCAAGCCAATTTTTAAGGCATATTCGATAAACTGCTATGCTATATACATTAATAATTATTGGAACCTTCCATCGGATCAACAGGCTGACCTGAAGGAAGAGGCCAAGCAAAAAATCAAAGTGGCCCACGAAAAATGCCAGGGCAATCCCGAGACTCACGTCGACGAGGCAGTCTTGGAGAAAATCCGGAAGGGAGAGAAACCCGACCACCCTCAGAACCTCGGCGCCCACAGCCTTTGCATCTCGAAGACTCTAGGTTGGCAAAATCAAGATGGTACCGTGAACAAGGCCCTCATCACTGACAGAGCTACCCAGCATATCCAAGATGCGGCCGAACGACAAAAGTACCTTGACGAGTGTGCGGTTGATAAGGAAAACGAAAAGGCCACCGCCATTAATTTGTTCAAATGTATTGGTAGATACACTCGTCATCAGTAATTCCGTGAAAGACAATAAATGACTTTCCGTATGTCTTTTGTTTTTTTTGTATACCTGTTCACGGAATCTATCAATCTTTAAAAATATTGTTTTGATAAGGGCATTCATATACCTCAAAGATAGTTGATAAAGTATTTTGTGTTTTAACTAATAAAAACCAGGGTGTATGGAATAACAACCATGAATAATGTCCTTGACCGCTTTGTCCCTTCGGGCTTTAAAAGTTGGCAGGATGGTGTAGTTTATGTGTCAACCTAAGCTAACCTTTCAAGCTATGTAAAACATTTTGATAGTCTTCTGTCATGTATTACACTCCAGTGTGATAGTTTTGTGGGATGTCGATGAGACTTTTTCGGGGTTTCTCATTTAAAAAACTATTTGCAAAATAGAACTACATTTGTTCTTGCTTGGATGTGACTTCTGGGGTTCCACAGGGTTCATACTTGGGTCCCTTGCTCTTGGCATTATTTTTATATGATACAGCAACTTGTTTTCTGCGTTCTGAAAGGGCTTTTAGATATAGTAAAATAGAAAAAAAAATTAAACTTTCATTACAGATCAAAAAGAGAAGACTGCTTATTGTAGTAGACAAGGTACGGCCATCTTGATTCTAATGGTGCAAAAACATATAACGATGCCATCTAGAAACTTCCATCCATAGCCATGCAAATATTCTCTTCCAATGCTTCGAATGGTATAATTTTTCTAAGTTGATTGGAAACCCTATTCGCAAATCAGTTACCACACAGAAAATTATTAATATCATTTACATTAACTAATCTAATTTAATTCAAAATTCGTTGGTAAAAAATGCAGATGCGATATCATATACTTCGTATTCTATATATTATATCAATAATATCACAACCTTAAGCTCCATGATCCACCGAAAATATTGAAAAATTAACAAACGAACGAAACCAAGCTCCATTTGTCTATAAGTGGATTGAGCATACTTCAAATCTGGAAACTTCTACTACGAAAATAGGAAATCCTGTGGTAACTACAATGAAACGTGAAAAGAGGTGTTACCTTATCTTTTACAGGCTAACAAAATTAACAACTCCCTTTTCTCTGGTTTTAGTCCCCCTCACAATTCTGCCAACAGTGTTAATAAATGCCGTTGTTACAAATTTTGTAATCTGCTTTTTTCACTTCGCATGGCAACATTTAATGGAATTAAACAGATTATTTCGCAATTAAACTCCAATTCAACTGGTAGTGATAGCATTATGCTGTCACGCATAACACATATTTTAAATTGTAGCATTTAATGCGCCTCCGCAGTAGTAGCGCAACCTAAATGAAATAGTGATTTAAAACCAGTATCTCTGATGTCAACACTGCCCAAGGAAATGGAAAGGGTTGTTTAGCCTCAGATATCTGAGTACGCTATAGCTTATGACTGTCCAGCACAAGAACAGTAGTTTGGCAATAGAGTCTTATTTTCTAATGGAAGGACCGCCCGGACTTCCAAAATCAAAGTGTACTATGTTATTAATTATATTTTGACACTCACCTACAGGGATAATTTTGAAAGGTAGAAAAAAAATATAAAAGTTTGAAGATATTTGCTCTATTATCTTATGCAAATGTCAGAAAGAACAAAGGACGATCGCTAGCTGTCAAAATGACAGCAACTTTTTTTTTAAAGGAATGCTCTATATATTATTAGCTTAAATCGTAGATCTTAATTTCGTGATTTCAAAAACATATAGTTTATTAACATTTCATTTAGCGGTTTTTGAGATATTTCAGCTTAAAAATATTTAAAATTATCATCAAAAATGGTCAAGTCTACAACTAATCAAAACTAAAGATCTGCAGCGTAAGTTAAATAACTTAAGATATTTCAAATGTATTTAACTTGGTCCAGTAATAATCTATACAAAATGTAGTGACCTGCATCCAGGTAACTTAAATGGGATAAAAGCACAAATTCGCATTTTAACATTAAATAGGCCTTTTGTAAAAATGTTAAATGTTGTCCATTGTCATTCCTACATTTCTCATCGAATCACAGAACTTATTTTTTTTATTATACCCACTAGATATCCATCGCCCTTTCGGCCAAATCAAGTCATAATTTAGGACAGCCACAGCTTGCTTAGCTTAAGAAAGGTAAATTTGTGTGCCATCTACGTAACAATAAAAAAAAACAAAAATTTAGTGAAACGAGAACCGCATTCAATGCTGAAAAGCGGTCCTAAACTGCACCCCTGATGGTCCTTATGTATAAATGAAGTACTTGTACCCTTATGCGTTATTGCCGATTAAACTAGAAGACTAACCACGTTTTATAAAAACAAATTAACTGTCATAAAAATTTGGTGATTAAGCTTTCGAGTGGTCTAAGAGAATAATAATAATAATAATATTAATAATAATAATAATAATAATAATAATAATAATAATAATAATAATAATAATAATAATAATAATAATAATAGTAATAAAACAACTTCATAAATCATAAATAATTAAAAAGCTCTACTTAACCAGTAGAAGGGAGAAGTAGACGGAATCGAAAGTAGACAAAAAATAGAAGGTGATGTTAAAGTATACACACACACACACACAAATCATTACTCTACATTAGGTACACCTCGATTAATTTTTTGCTCAGAAAGTTGGTATTTTTTAAATTCAATTTTAAACTTTTTTAAAGATTTTTTTTTAATTTTCTTGAAGCGAATTGTATAACATAATTGCATTAAAGACATAGTTTCTCCTAAACGGGAAAGTATGATATTTAGGAATTGAAAACGCACTATCATTTCTTAAATTACCACGTGAACGGCTCTGATGACGTAACTGAAACTTGGCTTTAATTGGGAAAGGATAACTGGAGGTCGTATACTTTTCCATTTTTAACCAGCTCAATTCTTTTATTTTTTCGGATATATGATCTGATGATGATATTTACGAAGATTGCAAGCAATCGTACGACAGGTATTTTGCATTTTTCCAATGTGAATCCTAGAATTAACATCCAGCACGCGCATTAAATGAGATCTCAAATGTGATAACACTAAGCTTTCACATAGATTACCTTTTAGGGTTGTATTGAGAAAATGTTTGATTGCATGTAAAAGTTTTAAGTTAATAGATGCTTTTTGAATTAGTTTAACATTTAGGGGAATATTATTAATTACATAAGTGCATAAAACTTACTTGCATTAAATATGCTCCAATGACAATTTACACAAAGTCTCCAATTCATTATTAATCAGTGTTTCAGTATTTTTGGCATTATTGACATCAAAATGAGCATAGAGCTGTTTATCGTCAGCGTAGGCCTGAGCACTAAATGCGATTTGCGTAAATTATTAAACCCGTGGTATTTAAGTTTAGCTAACATAAATTTATGATCAATGGTGTCAAACGCCTTTGAAAAATCTAATTAAATTAGTGTTATAACCTCTCTTTTGTCATATGTCTCTTACACATTGATAATCCGGTAAAATTATATTCATGATCACGTATTCATAAATTTGCTTCAATGAAACTTTCTTCAAAATTTGAAAAAAGTACTGGAGGGGCACTAATAGCACGCAGGTCAGGAAATATTATCCAGGTTTTTTGCATTTACCCTTTTTGGGAAAGGTATGACGAGTGCCTTTTTCCACTGGTCCGGAAAAATGCAAGATCTGAAGCAATAATTTATAATGTGTGTGATGCTAGACAAAATATGGGGGGGGAGTACATAAATAAAAAATTATTTTAATTCTTCGCTTGCTTTTTGTTATACAGCTACAATTACTGGGTATTTAAAACAGGTTTTTATTTTTATTTTAACAAATATTTTTACAAAAACACGTGCAGTGCGAGGAGATGCATTTTGAAGTGTGATTATTGATTAGGTACTATTAATTATTAATTTTTTTCTACTCCCGTCTCTAAAATACCTAATTACCAACCGATCTAGCGTGCGGGAAGCGTCACTTTACCACGTCAGTTTCGTTTCCCATGAATCCGAGCCACTTCGATCATTTCCGGGGTTTTACGAGCAATCGGATGTTTTCGGAAATATTTCCCACGCTTTGAATTTTGACGTTTGTCAATTCTGACGGTCATGTCAGTGAATGTATTCGTGTTGTTTTGCGAAAATGTACCCAAAAACTAAAGGTCGTAGAACATGTTCGGTAAATTTTTTGGCTCACTCGTTTATTAAAAACTCGCTCCGCTCGTGAATCAAATGCCGTTTACCGCACTAGTTGCGTAATATACTATTACTTAACATTTTTTATAAAAACGCCGATTAATCGCTCTTAATAAGCAAATAGCTATTCGATAGTTTACTGGAAATTGAAAAAAAGAAAACACAACGCATTTACTTTTTACAAAACTTTTAGATTCCTCCTGCGCCGGTTTTGTTGACTCGAACTTGCTGACGTTTCGCCAATCAACCTCTTGGCTTCTTCAGAGCTTGACTGCAACAGTTCGACTCAACAAAAACCGAAGCAGGAGGAATCCAGTAGTTTTGCAGAATGTATACAAGTTGCATGTGGAAGGTTCTTAAAAAAAATAATTCTGGTATAATTATTTAATTGTTTTCATTTAGAACTTAATGATGCGCGTGAGAATGCTCGTGAACATGGCCGTGATGAGCAACGTGATCTTGTACGGCGTGTTTCAAGAGGCATTTCCTCAAATGGATGGCCGTCTTTTCGGGAGTCTCCTGATTCTCTCCACATTGATTCACGATTTCCTCCACTTTGGATTCCTCCACCCCCGAATGCGAAATACTTTTCCTCAACATTTCTTTATTCACGGATCCGTCTTCGTTGATCAAACCGACCCCTTTCGACATGCACAACTCGTGAGCGGCAAAGTTCGATGGCAATTCGACGTGTTCCCGTTTCCGGAGTTTTTCGAAAATGGAGTCGTCGATATGCGTCACGGGATCATTTTGACATCGGCCGTGAACGTCGCTGAGCTTTTGCTTCTGTTCGTCGGTTAGCGGGATCGCCTAAAAATATTATTTATTTATTTATAAAAAGGACGAGCCCGTTCTGCACAACAAATATTGCATGACGTTAATAAACTTATGACTAATCTAATTTGCGAAGAGAGAAGAAGCACATCAACCACTAATTATAATTATGAATACAACATTATATAAGAGGGATGTTTTATTATTAAATTAAATGAAATTGGCCAATTAGTGGTTATTTTGGTGGTTGCCTCGGTACTAAGAACATTTACCTGTCAGTGTTTCCACTAAAAAATATTTTTGAAAATTTGGTGCCGAAACTCAAAAGGCCGTCTTTAATGATTACGGACAATACACGACATCATTCTAGACTTAGTGAAAGTAGTGAAGAAACAAAAATAAATTAGCTGCACAATAAGCGAATTAATTACCCAGAAATTGTCCTGTTTCAGATATTCAGCTTGAATGAACTTTTTTTTTAATTAAAAATTAGGTATGAACACTTACTGGGTCAGTTTTGTTCTTATCTAACCAAACACTACGCATTTTTCACATTCTTTGATGTTTATCAAAGTCTGCTGATTCCCTAACCGTTTTAAATAGTTTAAATTTGTTTAATTTTTAATTTTAATTAAACGCGATATGTTTACAGTAATCCAGTGATTTAATTTTTATAGTTGGTCTTCAAAAATTGATTAGTTTTGATTAGTAAGCTTAGTAATACTTGATTTTGAATGAAAAAATAAGTGGGTAATCACTTCGAGGTAATGGAAAAAAATAATAAAAATATATAACAAAATTTTATTTCGATTTTGAATATCAAGGTTTGTTTACCAAGTACTTGATAATTGACTTCCAAAATTTTGGGGATAACCCCGTTGACAAGCCCCACCATTTACTGTGGATTGATAGAGAAAACAGCGTAAAAAAAAGATTTGATTTTGAATTTATTTTTTTTTTTTGCAAATTTCTAGGATAATACTTCCTAATATCGTACGTCGTTGACCTTACTATGACATTTTCAAGATATAACTGACACTTTCGCATAATATTTGAGCATGAAATTTATAGCAAAAATAAAATATTACATTATATTTAAACATATCATTTAATATCGCAGAGAGATAGATACCGGCAATTCTATTATAAATTAAAATTAAGCATTTGATACACAAATAGATGCAAAATTTAAAATTCAAATTTTAAATTTAATTTAGTTGAATAGTTGAAAGTATGGATCTGACGTCGCTTCAGGTTTGCTCACTAAAAATATTGTTTAATAACATTATGAACTTCAACAAATGCAATTTGTGACCTATTATATCCACATAAACTTTTAATGGATGGTGTATGTTAATAGCAACGGATTTTATAATTGGAAATGCAGATGTATAGAAAATATTTTAATATTTAACTGCATCATTAAGTAAGTATTAAGTAACAGAAATGCCAAACGAATACAACATAACGCTATTGAAATATATTAAATAAAACAATTGTTTAGGGTTTAAGTACTTTTTTTTTATACACCTTACCTGGAAACGTTATTATTGAATTAATTAATTAATTTTTAATTCAAATTAATGAAAATAATTATTGTTTATTAATAATAATGTGTTATGTTAATATTTTGGTCCATTAACTGAAACCAACTAGATAAAGTCGGAAGTAGAGAAATAAATTGTTACCCAAAAATATATGACATGTAGTTATTTTTTACCTGAAGGAAACAATTAGTTAAAAACGAAATCGTCATTTAGTTAGCCATGTATTATAATGGCGTCACGCTAACGCTACGTCTTTTGTTTGATTATCACATTGAATAAAGAATACATAGGCATACAAATATATAAAAACTTATTTACTGATTACGAATATTGCGCTAAATGTTGAAAATATCCTCTATCCTCCTGAATACACGGAAAACCTTTTTAATTTATTTAAGCTCTAATTTTCCACCCATCATACAAATCATTAATAGGTTATATTTATTTCATTCCTAATTGGTTCTTTAATGTCGTCTACAATAAAGAAATTTTTGTTTTTATACCTCCACGAAAAGGAATTTGGATGAGATATATGGAGCAACATTATGAGCGGGGTGCCATACAAATTTTTTATACCTTCCATTTAAAATTTGTAAATAGATTTCTCCATTCATCATCACCCAGTCATGAAAAACTCGTGAATCGATTATTGTTCAACATATGCATACAAAATGTTAACCGCTGAGTCTTCTTATCCTCATTCAATTACTGATATTTCGTAAATTTAAAAGGGTGGAATTTATATTTTATTCATTCTCAAACTTTTTCCAAAACTCATCCGCCAGGCGACAACACTTTAGCGTAGAAAATTTGATTTCGCCAAACAAGTTGTTTCACCGATATAAAAGGTAACTTCTTCACTTCTCCATCAGAAATTAGAATGCGCTCTCTAGAGTCTCTCTATCATATTTCGTTTCTTCCAAATGTTGTATAAATGCGCTTGAATGACATTTAAAATGATATGGTATCATCCCTGTATATTTCCATACAGGGTTAATCAAAAGTCATGCGTCTGCCATGTATCTCAGGGATTATTAGACAGATATCTTTAAAATTTAGTGGGTGGGCCTTTCTAATTACTTTGGACCTACCATATTATCTTATTTTAAATAGAAAGGGTACGCTTTTATTGCATTTTTGGATTGCTCTAGAAATTCTAAGTATTTTTCGTGTTACATGCCCTATACCCAAATTTAACGGTTTTTGTAGGGATAACAAAAACCAAAAATAATTAAAGATTCAATCAATAAAGAAGATTGCTCTCGAAAAATCATCGCTGGGAGGGGCAAGATCGTCGGAAGTACCGCGAATCAGCTTTTTATTTTAAAAAGAAGGCTCTTCGCCGAATCCTAGAGGGACGCATAGTTTTTCTAGCGTGCTCCTGCGGACCACTATGGAACTTTCGCAAAATCTATTTCATCTTATTGTGAATGCACCCTATATAAAGTGTCCTTCACATCTCGTCGAACTTCAAAGTTACGGCAAACTTCGGTAAATATTAAAATTTGTACTGGTAATTGCAATTTAAAATTACATTTTTTTAAATATCTCGCACCCTCTGTATTATAGACGAAACCTTAAACTCTTTTTATTATTACATCTTTAAAAGTTTTTTATTTATCGCCAATAATTCCTATAGGAAGACTTTTTTTGGAGAAAAAGATGTTTTTCTGGATGCCAAAATAACGAAAAAAAAATTCTAAAATTAAAAAACTTTACTTTACTCTGCGTTATTTTATTGCTCTCAGTTTAAAAAGTCTAAATGCGGGTCAAGACTTCTACTTCTCTCCCAAGCCTGAAGTCGGTAGCTGCAAATTTGGGGCATTTATTATGTTTTTTAATATTGCACGGAATATCGTGAACAATACTGAAACAAATATAAAACTTTTAGCTGTATATGCGCTATATTGCCATATAAAAGAAACTGACATTTTAAATATAGTCTTTTAGTTATAGCCAATTTTCATTAATAGAGGGACCCATTTTTCAGTGTTTTTGCACACTGTATATTTTTGCAAAATTGTCAAAAACAAAAATTTATGGAGTCGTACCCCCTGCGTCTTTTGGTTCAAGAATTATGGACACACACATTGGTTTTAGATTTAAAAAAATTGACAAATGGCAAGTTTTAATGGAATCTTTTTGAAGTCGGAAATGGCGACTGGAACATCTAGAAAAAATTTGCATTTACAGAGAACAACATAGGCCAATTATTTACTTGGATGAAACCTGGTTCGTCACTGATGATACCCCGGAAAAGGGTTTAGTTGGTCAACTGATGAGTGTAAAACAAACGCGCCATCAAAAAGGGGTAAAAGAAAAACTATTTTGCATGCTGGCTCTAAAGATGGTTGGATTCAAAATGGACTTTCTCTGTCTGCGAAAAATATTCTCTGAATTGCCATGAAGACACCACCGCTGATTTATTTGAAAGTTGGCTTAAAAACAAATTAGTTCCAAACATTCCTCCTAATAGCGTAATTGTAATGGACAATGCAAGTTATCACAGTAGACAGTTGACTAAAACCCCTTCCTCATGTGACACAAAAGCAACGATCCAAAACTACATGTATAATAACGACATTTATTTTCGCGAAGATTATATCAAAAAGCAATTAATTGAGGTTCTACAAGGGATACGTCTTGATAATTATGCAAAAAATCTATGGCATCCCCATCCCATTGAACATATTTGGCACCAACTGAAATCTGCCATTCGTCGTAACAATGTTTTTCCCCGTGTTAACTCCAATGTCCTCAAACTTATAGAAACCGAAGTTTTTAACATCCCTCCACAAATTTGCACAAATTCTGTTAAACATATAGAAAAAGCAGATCAATGGTATATCCATATTGCAAATAATATAGAACAAATAATAATTATAACAGGAAATGATAGCGATAGTGATACTGATATATTATGTGAGTAATTTTAAGTAATTTAAGTAGGTAATAAAAAGAATTCGTAATTTTATTTTAGATTTAAACATAAATACATACATAAATAAATAAATATTGTTTAGTATCTTTCCTAACAAAACCCCAAATAATTAAATTCTAAGCAAAGTGCGGACCTGTTCGGCCATATTTCATTCTTACAGCTTGCCCGGGTCTGTCCTTAATTTGTATCAGTTAGTCACTTTCTTATATCTATGAACAGACTTTACAGGGTAAAATGAAAAATCAAATGTGAATGATCTATTTTCAAAAATAATGGCGCTAAAATAGGGGAATTCATTTCATGTTTTATATGTCACGCTTTGTTGAGTCGCCAGTTATATTTCAAATAATTTTTAAAATTTTAAAACTTTTGTATTTACCATTCTCCCATAACTTTTGCAACCAATGAGATAATGATCTTTACTCTCTCATTAACTCGCGCTGTACCGTGTGTTCAATTTATCTTGGTAACATTAATAACTTTTTTGTTTTTAGAGATGTCAAGATAAACAAAAGAAAACAAAATTTAGGGTTAGTAATCAAAGTTTTTTTTCAAGTGACGTATAAAACAAAACAATTTTCTGACATATAAGCCTACATCATATTTTTTTTTCATGTAACACCTTATATACTATATATATGTTATTAATAGAATATATTATTCCGATTACAATGGTGTAACATACTTTATATTTTAGTTCACTCGTTTATGACAAATCGGCAAAAATAGGAATTTTTTATAGAATTTCAAAGAGTGCCCTGACTGACAAAAAAAAATGCATATGTTTGACATATTAGTAAACAACGTTAGTGGTTGAATTATTGTCCAAGTCATTATTGTTGAAATGGTATTTTGCGAATTTAGCATCCCTAGAAGAGTGAAATGCTTCAAGTATACTTTTTGAATAATACAAGTGCAACCGCAGCTCTTCGTCAGTACGTTAGACTTTATCCAGAGCACCGAGCTCCTTCAAAACAGATGTTTCGAAGGCTGGAAAAGAAATTTGCAGAAAACGGTAACGTATTAAATGCTAAAAAGGTATGTCCGAATAATAATGTTTTAAGCGAAGAAAATAAGACATATTAGGATTCTATGAAGTTTCCTCTAATACTAGAGTATATGAGGGTCAATCTACTTAAAAACTAAGAGCCGAATAATGTCAAAGGAGGATGCAGTTTTGTTTGTGATATTGGTCTTTAAATAATCCTTCTTCCAGTTCCAGTTCCAGTCTTTAAATAATCAAGACGGTGCCCCTCTTTACAAGTTGAAAATTTTCTTAACATGGAATATCCCAGGGGTTGGATAGGGAACGGCGAAACTATGGATTGGCCAGCCAACAGCCCCGACTTAACTTTAATGGATTTTTTCTTTTGGGGTCACATAAAAAATCGCGTGCACAGAACTCCTTGTAATAATGTCGTGGAACTTAAGAGACAATCCGGAAACGTTACTAAATGCAAGACATCATACAATTAAAGTGTATGAGAATGCTTTCAGCAAAATGGTGGTCACGTAGAGCAGTATTCAGAATAGTTAAAGAATCTTTAACATTTTTAGTGTTGTTGTTTCACTTTAATTTGTAAATAATTATTGTTGTTGCAGTCAGTCACGGCATTTTTTGAAATTATATACAAATTTCCTGCTTTTGCCGATTTGCCGAACCGTGTTAAGATATTCTATTAAATACATATATAATATACAGGGTATACAGAAAATTGATAGTATTTTGTTTTATGCGACACTTGTTTACCTTGATATATCTAAAAACAACAAAAATTACAGCCAATTAAAATTTTATGAAGATAAATTCAACGCACGGTAGATAAGTTACCTTTTTTTCTGAAGTTTTCTCTCAATAAAATAAGAGCGTTCATTGTCACATGATTAAAACAACAACCCGCATTGCGTTACTTATTAAAAATTAATTTCGCTCGGTTTAATTCGAAATTTCTTTCGACCTTTCCTCGTTTACTTTTACCGATATTGTCACTCTCGAGATACGAATTTTCAGACGGAAACAAACACTTTCCCCGACGCCCACGCGTCGAATTTTCTTGGAAAAAGTTTTCGTTGCGAGGGATGTTTTGAATTTTGTTTTCGTAATAAAAGTTCAAAGTTAATTAAGGTTTGAAACGTGTAACGCTTGGCGGCAAAATTCTAGCAAATCTCCGGGGGTGATGTTTATCTTTTTCGCGAATTTTGGAGATAAATGTCCCTTACGGAGGAGATAAGAAAAAAATTATGTAAAATGCGAGGTTTTTGCTTACCAAAACGGCCGTCAAAGCTAGGCCCAAGACGATAATTTGTCTCATTGCTAGGAAAATTGAAATCGGCAAACTTGACGGTGACTGTAAACCTTTCTCTAACAGCAAACTGTATTAGTTTCGGGTCAATCATTCTATATATAATATTGAATGTGTTTATCGCATTTAAAAGAGTTCAAGGTTTATCGCACAATCTAAACGAATTAAAATGGCATTTATAAGGATTGGATGATTGCTATTACTAAAATTGAGTTATTTAGTGGTATTAACATATGTAATCAAATTATCGTGTAAGGTAATTGCTAAATACATTCATTTTATTTTCATTAAAAAGCACATCTTAGAAAGGGATAAGCTTTTAATTTTTTAGGATTGGATAATTTATTATTACTATTTATTTGTTGCTTATTAGGAAATAAATTTTTTCCTAAGATTGTTGGTTCAAATTACCAACAAAACGTCTGTATAATTGAAGGTTCGAAATCAAATTGACTTTATATTAGCCCCCAACAGATTCAGAAACAGTATTCTTACTGTTAAAACTTATCGACAGTTATCGGCAAGATCAGATTGAGGCTCAAGAAGCTCAAAAAGAAGTCCTCCAGAAAGCCAGACTTGAACCCCCTAAGAGATGAACAACAACGACAGGCAATATCAGTCTCAGTATCAAATAAAAGACTAAGTGAGATCCGACAACCACAAAATATACAAAATAGAGAGAGTGTAAATGTGAATAAAGTAGAGGACATCTGGGAGCAGCTCAAAGTCTCTCTGCTGGAAACCCAAGAACAATTAGCGACAACAAACAACAAGCGACCTCATAAAATATGGATGACCGACGAAATATTACTCTTAATGGATAAGAGGATTCAAACAAACTAATTTGCAGAAATATAAAGAAACTAAGGAGTCCCAGATGAAGGTGAAGTGTCAGGAGATGGAGGAACTTATTACAAAACACGATGCCTTCAAGATTCACAAAAAAATAAAATAAATTACCGGAAGCAGGAAACAACAGCCCCACATCATAATCTTAGACGAAGAAGGCAAGCTGGCAACCAACCACGAAAAAGAAGATTTCTGGGTAAAATATGTATCAGGCTTTTTTGATGACAATCACTATTTCTATGACAATCAGATCCAACTAGAACAAGGACAAGGAAGTTGAAAAAGCCTTAGATGGTCTTAAAACCCGGAAAGCGGCTGGTCCAGATAATCCTAAATTAATTAAGCTTATCAACAAAGAAATCTTAAAAATTGTAGTCCAGTTCTTTAGCAACATTTACAAAACGGGGGTTATGCTACAAGACTGGATGAAGTCGACCTTCATTCCCATCCCAAAGGAACGAGTTCCGCATGATCAGTCTGATGAGCCAGATGTTAAAATTATTTCTAAAAGTCCTGCACAATCGTATAAAAAGAAAATACGATCACGATATAAGCGAGGAGTAGATGGGTTTTCGGGAAGGGCTTGGAACCCGTGAAGCATTGTTTGCGCTGTCGATCTTACTGCAAAAATGTAGGGACCAACGGAAGGATGTATATTTGCCCTTTATAGATTATACAAAAGCCTTCGACTGCGTCAAGCAAAATATAATAAATAAAATAACAACGGTAAGTGAGCACATGGATCTACAAATAAATAGAAAAAAGACAAAAACAATTGTAATAAGCCGAACCCCGAACCAGCCTCTGGACAAGAATACGCGGAACAGTTATATCAAAAGTGCAAAAATTTAGATATTTGGGTAGAATAGAAATGGCCAGAGCAACATTTTTGAAAATGCGAAACTTGCTAAGTGACAAAAGCCTTAACACCCAAATCCGGTATAATTTCGTAAAATGTGTTTTCTGTGCTGTATGGGGTCGAGTCGTGGACGCTAAAGACTAGTACGTTAAACAAATTAGAGGCGTTAGAAATGTGGGTTAATCGACCTATAAGAATGAACGAACAAAGAACGTGACCTCATAAACATCATTAAGAAAAAGAAAACGGCGTACCTCGGACACATCATGAGAGGCAACAAGTATGCATTTCTGAAACTTATAATAGAAGGCAAAATTGAGGGTAGTCGAGGGCCGGGGCGAGTTGCCGATCTTCATTGAATGGAGTTGGTACGTTAAGAAGAAGAATATAGTGTGGTATAATGTATGAGGGCTCGCACCGAGTGTACAGGGTGGCCACTTTATTAGAGGCCTGTACATTTTCTCAGGAACTACTGATTTTAGAAAAAATGTTTATAATTACTTATTTTTTATATATACAGGGTATACGATAAGTGCTGGACCGGCATTAGTTTTAAAATTTTAAACGGAGCATCCTATATATTTTGATATTTTTAGAATCCTTGCCAAAAATAAAGGAGACTTTTATTCGAATTTTGTGTGGTTTAAACAGGAATTGAGATTATATATTTTTTTATGCAAAATTATGTCTTAGTGAATATGGCCTTCCACGGCTGGCAGTAACGACTGAACACACTTTTAGAAGACTTCTTTCTAACGATCTGCTATGACTAGGTATTATGAAATTATACAGGGTGTCTTTAATTAAAGGACATTTTTTTTATTTCAACTTGCAATATATTGTTTTTTAAATGAGACGCCCATGTTCAAAATACTTATCATTTGGTATATATATGTCCTATACCTAAATCTAATGGTTTTCGAAATACTGACACAGAATTTTAAAAAAGCATATCATTCTCATATTTTATAAATTTTAAGGATCTTTGCAATAGGTGATGGGTCTTTTTTGTAGGTAAGGCCATACAGAGATTTACGGATTTAGGAAATTAAAACGTCATCATTTTTTATATCGTCAACGATGTAAAATAATATGTATAATTATGGTAGAAGTTTAAAAATTTAAGACAAGTGACAGTATTAAGTAAAAGCAAACAATTAAAGTAAAAACTAGTGTAAAACAAAATATAAAGTCTGTAGTAGGTTTTCAAAATATCCACTATTTTGAATAATGCATGTGGTATAAAAAACCTATATACCATATTATCTTGATTCGGGTTTAAAGGCCGTCGTCGGTTGGAATTACTTCCTAACGTTTCGCTAGCACGAGTGGCGTAGTAGTAGTCTACAGTCTACGTCCAACATCGGAGATGGAAGGACCTCTGAAGAAGCTCGCCACTCGTTGCTAGCGAAACGTTAGGAAGTAATTCCAACCGACGACGGCCTTTAAACCCGAATCAAGATAATAGCTTATCAACGGGAAGCGAAAGCCTTAACCAATTTATCAACCTATATACCGTTTAGAGCATTAGAAACAAAATCGGTCTTATTTAGTTGGACTACATCTTCTCCAATACATATTTGTAGTTCACTTACCGCGGTGCATTTTTCTTTATATACCATATATTTCATTGTCCCCTATAAAAAAAGTCCAGTGGGGTAAGATCAAGTGGCCACCAGATGTTTCCATTTCTCCAATCCAAAGATTCTTATAATTGCAATATATACAAAAAAAAAATTAAAATTTAATTTAAACCATAAAACTTTTGTATAAACTTTTTTCTTCTAAAATCAGTAGTTCCTGAGAAAAGGTACATGCCCCTAATAGTGCCCACCCTGCACGCGTCTTTTTCGGCTGTGTGAATAAAAAAATGTCAGACGGTTGGACATTATATAAAAAGTGGGTTTTTACGTCAAAATCGAGATAGAGCATTGGGCTTTAAATAACATCAAACTCAAAATAAATAAGAACTAAAAGTTCAGATTTTCACGAAATTATATATTTTTACATGACAATTGTTTCGACGACACCGTGTCTTTATCAAATGTAATATATACAAACTACCTGCTACTATATATACCGAAAAATGACAATAAAACCTTAATTAATGTTGTTGTGAGAATTTAATTTAAGCAATATATTTGAATGTCACATTTTGTTTTGTTGTTAAGCTCCATGGCTTCCAAATTTAATTTTCTACTTTTTGTGGCTGTATGTAAAACATCAAAATTGTCGTCAAAAATGTGTTTTTCTTTGTTTAAGTGTGTAGCATAATTAGAATCTACATTATTGTTTTTAAACGCCCCTTTTAAGTTCGTTAATGCGTATCTTGAAATATGTACCTGTTTGTACATTTCGTTTTATTGTTAGTTAGTTATTTATCCATTTCTCACTTTTCTTTAGTAGTAATTCTGTTGTTTCAGCAGAAATTGTTTGTTGTAATTCGACCTAGTAAGTTTCAACAATTCAATGTCCATATTTTGCTTTGTTTTGTTATAGGTGCTGAACTTGATCAACTTCAATGTGCCTTTAATCCCTTATGTAACGATAACTCTTAATTAATATGCATCTTTTCTGCTAACTCCAGACACAAATACAATTTAAAAAAAAGTGCAGGCGCATATCACTATTTTTTGTAACGTAGAGTATAGAACAAGGAACGTCTTTTAAAACGAGACCTGACTCCTTTGATTCTGAGAGCCAAATCCGAGTTTTAACATTTAAATAACAACCGACGTGACCTTTCGCACTATTTTATTTTACGACAACTTTTTTTCAAAAAATCCTCACCAATTAACATTTTGCAATAATCGCGTAAGCATTAGCATTCTAGGAACATAAATATAATTTCCAGCCATCTCCGACTGCCTCTTTGGTAGTACAGCATGCGTTAGTACTGGATACACGAAAAATTCTCGCTGAATAAAACACACCACCCACCTTAATTTAAATTTATAACAATTCTATATTAGTTCAGTCAAAAATTATTAAAACACGTTCCAACCAATTAAAATTGGCCGATATCGATGTGATATTTGCCCAAACATTTGAACAAAGTCAGAGCAGTCTTCTGGGGGGTCTGGTCATTGGCGGAACATTCGCTGGTGATTTGATTGATTTTGGCTTGATCTTGAACGGATTCTTGCACAGCTTTTTTCAGGGTTTGCGTGTTGATATTGCCGTTGGGTTCTTGCAAATCCATGTCCTTCAACATGCAGAACGCATGGTCAGCGAAATTGTTGGGCAAGTTGACTTTTTCGCCTTTCCGGAGTTTCTCGAACACTTCCTCCTCTACAAAAGTCTTAGGGTTGGCCTGGCAGCCTTGATGGACGACGGTCCACGATTGTTTAATGGGTTGGTTCGCCTGCAAAATGTCGTACGTCACTACGTTGATCTGACTTTATTTAGGAACAATTTTCAATTCTCATTGTCTATCTTCAGTTTACTTATTACCGTAAGCTAATAGGTGAAAAGAAAATTTAATGCCAATATTGACTAATGCAGATTCAAAAAAAGCTCTGAAGAATAAACTCCAATACCAGCTGGTGAAAATAATACAAATGTAACGAGACACGTTACTTCTAAACTCTGTTTTTAAGTAACGCCGAGTAATAAAATGAAGAATTCCGTTCACTGGACATAACAATACGTATAATGTCAACAGTAATAATAATATTAGAAAAATGGCTAGCAAATCGTCATTTATAACGGGTATCCCAGTAAGGATAAATTTGAAAAAAAAATTAAGTATATCGCCAAACAGAAAATGCTGCAAATTATTTTTGAGGTTCTAAAATTGCCACCAGAGGACGTAATAAGCGATTTAGACATAATAACCTACGAAAGATGTTACAAAACGGCTAGAGTCGGAAAGATCATTGTAGCTAAGTTACTACACGAAGCAGGTCAAGTGGAACTTCCCAGTTATAGTCCAGAAATACCTGCAAAAAACCATGACAATACAAAATGTGCCAATCGAAGAAAAATGCACTTTTTCTATTTTAAAAAAGCAATGCTCATTCTAGACAGAATTTTCATGGACCTTGGATAGAGATACTTGAAAATTGCGACGGAAGAATATGCATTTTTTCTCAGAAAATCATTAAAGCAATTTTTTTTACTTAAAATATTAAAAGTATGTTTGTTGCTGAAGAAAATACTTGAAAAGTATAACGAGGCTTATGCAGGTTTATGTAAAAAAATTACACTTCGAAAGCAAAGAAGGGTCATGACATTAATGCCCATATTTTTAACGAGTACTCTGGAGAAATGGTAAAATATCTTATGGACGGACTAAATAGAAGTTATGGCAGAACATTTTGCACAAATATGTATCTCGCCTTTGGCAATTATACATAGATTACAGCTGAAAAGCTAGTTCGATATCGGATACCGGGTTTCATAAAATAAGGGATCTTATGAAAAAACACAATCAGAAGTCAAGGTCTCAAAATTTAATGCTATTGCTAAGAGTAACACATATTTGGATTGATTGACTCAAATTGGTATCTGTTTTTGTGCAAGTGAAACATCCATTGGAAATTTCAAATTGTATAGTAATAAAATAGGAAAATTTCCCCAATTCCTCTTAATTTCTGAAGGCGATTTTGGTAAAACGATAATAGTATATTATGCAACAAGTGATTAATACTATACATACTATACTTTTTCTACGAGTGTTAGTTTTTGGGTTTTGCGAAACATGTTCGTCAGAATTAACAAACGTAAAAATTCAAAATCTCGGAGAACATCCGATTGCTCCCAAACCCGTACGGTAATATCTCGGAAATATCCGAAGTGGCTCGGATCGAAGCTGACGTGGTAAAGTGCCACTTTCCGCACACTAGGTGGGTGCATAATTAAGTATTTTACAGAAGGGAGAAGAAAATAGTATATTATGCAACAAGTGCGATAAACGGCATTTGATTCACGAGTTTATTTGACCCGAGCGGAGTGAGTGTTTAATAAACGAGAGAGTTAAAAAGTTTACCGAACGTGTTGTATACTATACTTTTTCTACGACAGTTAGTTTTTGAGTTTTTGAGAACTACCAAAGGATTCAACAAGCATCAGTCAATAATAATAGCGTATAATAGTATGATAAGATCTGTACTAGAGTACTCATCCACAGTTTGGAATCCTATTTATAGTAAATATATCATCAGAATAGAAAGCATAAAAAAAACTCGAAGAAACTGTTTTGATATTGTTTTTCTTTACAAAGTTGTGCATAACCTTGTGGATTCTTTTTTTTGTATAAATTATCTGAGTTTTAAAGCTAATCCATATCAGGTGCGCGCAAGTGATTTAAGTCGAATTACTTTTCTAACTTTTCTATAATAAGATGTGCTCGGTCTTATAATAACTGTGTTTTTCTAAGCCGAATAGGTATAGATATGTTTAGTTTAAGCCTTAGTTTATTTAAATAATCGTATATAAAATTCTTTAGCTATTAGTTATAATTTACCTAAATCGAACCTTTGCTTTCATTGTAGAGATAAAAAATTTATAAAAAGATAATTAAATACTATAAGCCTTATATTGTGCCATTTTGTAATTTTGTAGCTGCGTCTGCCTGTTGAATGGCCTGTGACATTTAAATAAATTGTAATATTTATTTAGATGACAGTTGGTTCAATGTGGGTCATAGAATGGTTTGAGTGGACGCTGATCCCCAATTTTCCTAATGGATAAAAAAAATTATTGTGGATAACGCTTCCTATCATTCTTGTAAGTTTAGGCATCTACTGACCTCGAATTCACGATTGGCTGCTCGAAGAAAATATTTTCTTTGAAGTGTCCTACTCAAAATCAGAGGTACTCGAAGTAGAAGATTTAATTGCAAATCCTGGATAGATGTTTTATGGCCTAACCCTATCGAGTTTTATAGTAAAGCGATATATGGCAATAAACAACTATGATTTTAATACAAAAGGTGTTCGCTTATAGATGACTCGTATCGGAATAATTTTGTTCATCATATCAAAAAAAAAACTGAGAAGGAAATGATGGAAATGTAGTATACCGATATTCTCCAGGATAAAGCAGGTGAACTAAGAGACCACACTGTATTCTCAGTGTGACTTGAACTACAACAAGAGAGAACTGGCGGAAAACGGTCCAGCTTATCATTAAAGAAGAGGACAAAATGACGGATCTTAACCACTTAATCGATGGAATATTCTACCAGTTAATTATAACGTCAAGAGGAGATGACAGTTCCTCAAATGACGATTGTCGACACCTAGCACTATAATTCATATTACTAATATTAAAATATAGCTTTATGAAAAGATATCCTCCATTTCATACTCTCCCTCGCTTTGTAAATTACTGGAGGATAAGTGTTAATCCCGCGTCTGCAAGAACTCACCATAGCGAAGGCCACCGCCAGACATAAAACCAAAAGGCACTTCATTTTAGTATTTCTCGACTACTTATTCGCCGATTAAGAACTGACTTGGCCAATCCGTACGCTCCGGCTTTATATATATGCACAAGAACCATTTTGAAGAATCCCAATTTGTTTTATTTTTATGCACAATCTAAACGGGTTTAATCCAATACACACATATCGGTTTCTTCCAACTTCTTTGTTTATTGTTTTACCGAAGAAAACATGTTTTGAATTTAATTAACTCGGTGTAATATATATCGTCGTTCTTGTCGCCAGGGAATTCCAATTAAACAATGTTGTCGGCTACTAGTCCGGTAAGTTCTGGGAACAATGAGGAGCTCCTATTTGGAGAAATAATTAATCTATTTTGTTACTCGGTGTCCTCGTTAATGGAAAATAATTTCCACTTTATCCGAGAAATGTAGACTCGAGACTCTCCTGGTTCGAACAGGTGGACCACATTTTCAGAAAACTTTCTGTTTACTGCTTTGTCATATGGAGGCTCTGCCATCAGGTTTCTTTCCCCTTGTTAAAAATGTACTACTTTTCGTATGTCTATTCATGTCTCAACTACGCCTTGGTTTGTTGGGGAGGTTCCCCACGTGCGGAGCAAGTCTTTAGGATGCAGAAACGAATTTTTCATGTCGAGACCAATTTCCACAACACTCTTTATTGACACTTCCTAGTATGTACATACCAAATTGTGCCACGTATGTAAAAAGAAACTCTAATCTTTATATGCCCTCAAGAAACTCAGATATTCAGTACAGTTTAAGACCGAATCTTAACCTAAAAATACCTACACATCGGCTGTCTCTTACAGCAAGCAGTCCCTTTGTTTTGACTGTAAAAATTTATAAAATATAATTTATATAAATTGCCTATCGAACTGAAGGAGATAACTAGTCAAACAAAGTTCAAATGCACTCTTAAAAACAAAGTGCTACGCCTCGCCTATTACAATATTAAGGATTTTCTTTGTTGTGATACCTTTTAATACGTATTCGTTGTTTGTTATTGACTGACAATATCTAACACTTGTAAATCTAGTCTTATGGAAATAAAGCTATCTTTATCTCTAAATTATTTTTCTTCTGTTAATTATTAACTAACTTACCACATATAATATATGTAATATATATAAAATACCATGACCATCATAATTTTCTCTTATATACAGGGTGGGTTCAAAAGGAGATATCGATACCAGGTTTAAACGGAACATTATATTTTAAAATCCATTTTCGAATTCAATGTCAAATTTCATGCTTAGTTCCAGTAACAGGTCCTTTATCCATCTCTTACTTTTTATAAGCAAAAGAATAAAAAAAATGCAATATTGAAACGAACAGGAGTATACTTGGACCAGAAATATAGTACTTTTGCAACTGACCCTGAAATTAACTATGCCTATCGTTTATTACTCCAAAACCGCATATAGCCGAGCAGAAACTTACCCGTAGCCATTCCAGGAATTAATCAAGCGGGATATAAGACTGTTTTCAATCTTTTTCGCGTAGCAATTCTTGAAACATCTACATAAGAAAATAGTACAAAGTGATAATTTATTACGTTCTATTTCATTAGGTTACAAAGTAGCAGTCACTTAAAAGATCGGCACAATCGATACTGTCTAGGTGACGACAGTATCGATTGTGCCGATTTTTTAAGTGACTGCTACTTTGTAATGATCAACTCCGTCACTAATCGTTCTCGATAAATATCTTCTTCTTTTATTACTCGTTTTTCACAGTTAGCCCAGTTTTGTACTGATATTTCAGCTACCTCTTGCCGAATTACGTTTATGGTACTATCACAAAATTTTGGTTCAGTGTTATTTCCTCTTATATGCGCTTTCAACTCAGACCAAATCATCTCAATCGAGTTAAATATACAATCTCGGTGGCAATCTCAAGGTTTCATGTCCGTTTTGTTGTGCTATCGAATCGATTTCGTAGTCTTTATCAATAGAATTTATTTTTAATAATTCCAGAAGTTGTTTTTTGGTGTAGCTCTCTTCAAAATATAAATCATTTCCGCACAGAATTTTTTTATCTCTTCTTTATTTGAAGAAGTATTTGGAATTTGGCAACAGTTTATTTTCACACCAGTCCTCAAATATTTACGAGGTCATGTTTTCATGGTAATCCACAGTTAAATTTTTGACGTTTTTTCCATACAAAAATAAGGCATCTTCCACCCAACCGTTTTGTACACACTGGTTACTGTTATCACACCATCCTTTTTTACTGTGTCGTGAGTGTCGAACCACGTTTCGTGATAATACACCATTGGCCTATTTTGCTCTCAAAATTTTCCATTCCATTCCATTCCAAAGATTCGATTAGCACTTGGTGTTAATTAATTATTTGGACCCGAAAATCCATTTTCTTCAAAAAAGTCCACAACGACTCTTGGCACAATTAATGATTAAGGCTGTAAGTAGTTTTTAAGCAGTTCTTAAATGGTTAAAACACTATTCACCTTATAAGCGTCGTAGATTATACGCCTAATTTGATCTGCGTGTTGCTCTTTAAAAACTCTCTCACTCTCCTTGCATCTAAATGAAACTCGGAAAATTGAAAATTTAATTTTTATTGCTTATGGAGAACTCAAGGAGACGTTTAAAGTAAAATATCCACAGTAAGTAAAATTGAGAGAAAATTTATAAAAAGAGGGCATGCGAAAGAAATTATTTTGTTAAGTGTTAACCATTAACTTCTCTTCAATATCGGCCCCCGGAACCCTTCCAAAACATTACTCGTAACTTTTTTTTATTAATTTGCTTTATTTCGTATCCAATTATAAATTTTAAATCATGTAAATTTTTTAACATTCTAATAGAAGAAATAAATAAGATTAATAATACAAAAATTCAAGAATTAAGAAAATGCTTCCCGCAGGTGGGCATTTGTGTTTTACTTTTCGGGACCCCGTGCTTGCGGGTGGTAACACAGCAGCATTAAATTGAAACGCTTGTGGCCACCCTCGAGCACGTATTATGCAAATCCAATTAAATTAAATCCAAATTAATGTTTTATTTATTAAAATATTCAGTCCATACCCCGTACGGACGCCACTGGTAAAAAATAAAATATAGCTTTTGTGTTAAAAAACGCCTCTCAATAATTAAAAGATGTTCACCAAAGTTAATAAAAATATCGAAAATGATATAAAAGTTAAAAAAGAAAAAACAAATTTTCTAGAAAATTTTAACATCTTGAAAAATATGCACATGCACCTACAGAAACTTTTTACACAAATACTAACTACAAAAAAACATAAGAACTTTCCTCTATAGGAAGTAAAAAAACAAGTTAATACTTTGGTAACAAAAAACATTAAAAAGTATAACTTTTACATCTAGACTACATGCTTCTGAAAGCAATCAATGCATGAGGGCGCACCGCATGTGACACCTATTGTATTTAATTTTTTGTGTTACTGATGGTGCTGTAGCTGTAGCGTTTTCGTGCTACTCTTGTCGAACCTTCTACTTCTTTTGAGGTATCAAGCAACTTTTTAGCTTTATTAATGTCCATGGCCACTGTTTCTTTCAATTTCATAATATTAATCTTTTTATTGGTATTTTTTTTGAAAAGATGTAGCGTAATATCTATATTAGAAGCAGTTATTAGGTGGAACACAAGACGATTATACCATTTTAGGGTGCTTCTTAGAAATGAAGCGTAAGCAGCCATCTGATCGGAAACATATATAAAAGGTTTACCCTTTTGTAATTCTACTAATGCATTGCGTTTTGTTATCTCTTTGCCTATTTTCATGAAACTTATTGAAGTGTCTTCCCACTTAAGTACTAGAGTTTTATCTTCATTCTGCTTTCGTAGAGTTTCTCCTTTTTGCAACTTAGACTAGACTACGTCCTGAGGATTTCCCTTCCGAATTGCTGTTAATGTTCCCACTAAGTGGGTTTCTCTGTCAATAAGTCTTTTAGATAATGATACACCTGTATACCAGTTATCTGTATACAGAGTGCGGCCGCTCTCTAAAAGGCTCCTGCCATCTATTCCGTTACAACTTTCTCAGAAACGGAAACATCTACTGTAAGAGTAAGAGTGTAAGACGACTTGGACTTATTTTGAAGCAGATTTAGGAAGTTTGAGATTTTGTAAAGACGATCATCTTGGGATCTTGGCGCTTCATCATCGCTCACGTGGAACATCCCCAAAAGACTTTCGAATCTACTTCTGCTCATAATTGCAGATATATGTTTTCGGTAAATCGATTTAGTGGACCAATAGTCTCTCATCTGTTTCGAGGAAGAAAAAATCTGCGCATTTCTGTAGGATTAGTATCCACCCATTCTGGAATAGATCTATGATTTCATCATCAATTAAATGGTTAAAAAACTGTACATGACTCTTTCCTGTAAGTTTAGCCCTGATATTGGGATGACACATTAAATGATAGATGGTTTCCTTGAACGCGATCCCATATTTTTCTTGTGAATAATTGTGCCAGAGGTATATTGTCATCAGGATCTTCTTCAGAGCGTGATCCACTGATCGAGCTTGATCCATCATCACTTTCAACAACGTTGTCTGAAAATCCTGTATGCTCATCTTCAGAAATGATTGAGTCATTGTCCGAAATATTATCCAGCTCCCTAGTCAGCTCTTCTTCTGTTAAATCTGTCAATCTTTCAATAAATTAATTATGATTCGGTTATAATAATATGGAATGTCTTTTTTTTTAGACTTTTTATGAGGTCCATTTTACCCCTCGTAAAAGGGCTAAAAATTTACAAATAACCAGAATTTCGGTCGGGAGATTGGGTCAATTTTCAATGCCGAATTTTTATTTTATTATAGTAATTAAATTAATCAGTAAATGAAGCACTGTCATGTGGAGCATATGTTATAGAGCCCATGGAAATAATTTGAATAAGAACAATATTAGTTTGAAAAAGTTATTTGCGAAAATAATAAGATATGTACATTTGACCCATACGTCCTGCATGCTGGACATTTGGGTAGGTAGTGTTGGATGTTTGGTTGTGTAGTCACATGAAAAATTTATTTTAGATAATAATGGTAACATCAAAAGTAGTGACAAACATTTGCAAATAATTAACTAACAAAATGATCACAAAAAATATGGTATTGATTCTAGATTTCTTTTCTTATTGCTTTGTTTTTGAAAACAAAAATAAAACCCACTTTATCTTCAAGTTTTT